TCTGGACCAGAGTGGGGGCTGGTCCCTGGGGTAGGAGCTGGTGTGCTGGGGGGATGCCGGTGGGGGGAAGCTCTGTGTGGTGTGGAGGTATAAAGGGGGGGCTGGCCATGGGACATGGCCTGGCCCCCCCCCTTCACATCTGTGCCCCCCCCAGAGCGGGTGCCGATGGGCCGGGTGTTGAGCACGCGGGCGATGAAGGAGATGTACCGGAGCTACGTGGAGATGCTGGTCAGCACAGCCCTCGACCCCGACATGATCCAAGCCCTGGAGGACACCAACGGTGGGTACCCCCCCCTCGCTTCCCCCCCATGGCTGGAGGACCCCCCCCGCTTCCCCCCCACACCTGGGGGCCTGCCCCTCTCTTCCCCCAGCCAGGCAAGCGGGGAATCTGCCGTGCCCCGTGCGCGCACACAGCTGCGGGAGGGGTACGTGTCCCCCATTCGGGGGGGGTTACTGGCTGCTCCATTGGAGCTGGTGGGGGGGGAGGGGGGGCTGAGCCCAGGGTGGCCACATGGCCGATTCTGGGGGGACATGATGGCCAGTGACCTTTGCCCTTTGCCCCCCCCCAGACGAGCTGTACCTGCCCCCCATGCGCAAAATCGATGGGATCCTGAACGACCACAAGAAGAAAGTCCTGAAGCGGGTGTCGCTGCACCCGGCGCTGCAGGTAGGGGGCACGGGGGGGCTGGGTGGGGCACGGGGGGGCCCTGGGGCTGGCTGGGGAAGTCTGGGGGGGCCCTGGGGCTGGGGGGGGGGCGCGGGGGGGGCCAGGGGGCTGGCGGGGGGGGGATTGGGTTCTTTGCACCTGTGGGGCCGGGGGGGGGGACCCTGTAACCTAGGCGCCATGTGCAGGAAGCGCCCCCCCGCCATCCTGCTGTGACCCCCGTCCTCCCCAGGAGGCGCTGCACACCTTCCCCCAGCTGCAGGCGGAGCCGGGCGAGGCGCTGGTGAGGCTGCGCCCCGCGGGGGAGCCCTACAACCGCAAGACCCTCAACAAGCTGAAGAAGAGCGTGTCCAAACCCCAGGTGGGTGCGGGGGGGCGGGGGGCTGCGGCGGGGGGTGGGGGGGCTGGCGGGGGGAGGGGCTGGAGCCCCCGACTGACCCTCCCCCCTTTCGCCCCCTCAGGAGTTCAAGGTCGACGTGGAAAAGTCGTTTTTCTTCACCCTGTACCATTCCCTCCATCACTACAAATACCACACCTTCCTGCGCTGCAAGGACGAGGTGAG